AAAAAAAAAAAAAGCGAGGAAAAAAATAGGAGAAAAAAAAAAAAATGATTATACATCGTTTAGCATTCTCTTTTTCTTTTTTTTTCCTTTTTCCTTGCTAAGATTTATTAAATTTTAAACACTATGATTTTACAATAACTTTACATCTGCGACAACCGATTTAAAAATGAGAGAAAGTGGGAGTGGCGGTCTAATGCGTCTGTGGTGGTGGTCGCAGTGGGCGAGGGGTCATGATCTGTTTCCTTTTTTTTTTCCCTTTTTGCAGCAGCAGCAGCAGCATCAGCAACGGGCGGTGGACAACATGAAAAAAAAAAATATGTGGTTAAATTTTAAAAAAAAATTTTTAATGCGCGAATTTTCTTTTACCCATTGTAGTCGTCATCATTGTCGTTGTACTTTTTCTTTATGAAATTTATCACTGTTGGTATTCCAGCCGCTTTGTTTAATTCCTGTTTTTTTTTTTTTTTTTTTGGGGGGAAGGGGGGGATAATGGGAAATGGGTGCAAAAATGGGCATACACATATAGGTGTACGTATGTACGGTGGATCTGCTCAACAGCAATGTGATGTGTTATGCATCAGTGTGTAGAGGCGTCCTCGTGACGGGAGTGGAGTACCAACAAATTTTTCTTACCTTCAACTTTGACGCAGCGACATTTATGTTTGACTTTACCCATGTAACTTTTTTTTGTAAGCTCATGACCCATTCGGGGATGCTACCCACATCTGAAGGATGGTGCACATATAATGGGGTTGATGGAGAGGGGTACAAAAAAAAAAAAACAGGATGCGCGCGTATGTCTTACATGACACGTGGAGGAACAGAGACGTGACAACGCATGCAGGATGTACGTTAATGCTAAGCATAAATCTCTCGCGCACCAGTCCATCGGAGCTGTGCATTTTGCTAACCCAATAAGTTGCAGAAATAGTCCGCATAGTTCAGGCAATTCCTGTGAACAGGGGGCGCGTGTGTGTGTGTGTGTATGCATATGTGTATATGTGCATATCTGTAAGGGTTATCTTTTTCAAGTGCAGTTTTCTTCCACGGAGGGGTGTATTTTTCCCACGTGCCCTTTCCCATTCCAAGCTGCACTTTTTTTTTTTTTTCTGTTCCTGAATGACCATACCTTGACAATATGTCGTATGTATCTCCGATCCACTGCAGTTTCATCACCTCAACCAAGAGGTCTACTTCTTCCTTCGTTAGTGGAGTATGACTACAAGGAGGACATGGTACAAAAAAAACAAAACAAACAAGCGTGAGATCAGCCGAACAGATAAACACCAAAATAAAACATATAAAAAAAAAAAAAATAATAATAAAATAAATCTTGAGGAGACGCTTTCAAAGTGTCCTTCTCAAAAATGTGCTTCATACCCCTACAAAAAAAAAAAAAAAAAAAAAAAAAAAAAAAAAAAAAAAAAACACATGTACGAAATGGTGAACATGTGCAAGTAGCGTGGACGTTTTTTTTCTGCATGAACCATGTTGCACAATTGGGCGCAAACGAAATAGTATGTTACCATAGGGATGCTTTCACGATATACGTGGTAGGGATGATAGCGGGCGCTCGTTTTGGTCACCCCCGTTTCTCCATCTGTATAAGGGGACAACATATGAGAATGTGCAGGGGTGAAAAGAAGAATGCGAAGACGGGCACTTCTCAACCGCCCCACCGCTGCACTCAAAAGATTAAACAAATATGAAACTCTGGGGGGGCTACCTCCGTGCTTACCTACTATGTAACCGAATGAGTACTCATACCCGTAGACTTCTACACCTGCGTGGAAGGCACCTGTTAGGGAGGAGGCATCACAGAGCATGGGGGTGGCACTGGTGGAACTATACGCATGCATATACACGTACATATATATATACATATATATACCCGTGAGCATATGGACACATGAGGCGGGTACACCCACGGAATGTAGAATTGGTGCATACAACTAGGCACACTTGTACACCAGTTTAAAATGAGCGCAAGAATTACCTGCACCTATCGATCTAGCCACCGTATTGACAACCTTGGAAACGGCATCCAAGTCATATATATTTAAGTAGACCATGCTGGAATTGAAATCCGGCTGCGGGATTTCCTGTGACCCCCGCGTTTCGTAACTCCCAGACACGTCGCTTTTGTCATCTTTCTTTGTGTATTCCTTTCCTTTGGCGCGATTTTTTTTCTTCATTGATCTGGGGTGGGGGCGAGTTGCTATACGGGGGTTGTGCGTTATTCGTTGTGCGGTGCGAGGTTTGCGTTACAGATTTAGGGTTGTCTTTTTGGTAACGGGCGGAGGTGGCTGTGCGGGGAGATGCCGGACACTGTTGTGATGTCCTCACGATGCGATGAAAATATGCAATAGGCGAGGGATCGATCCTTTTGGATTGACAATTGTGAGACGAACGTTACAAACGAGCGCGTCTTTATATGTGTGTATGTGTGGGCAGACACGTACGGTAGGGAAAGTTCAGGTGACAGTTTTCAGCTGGTCCCACTACAGTTATTATATACACTTAAAAAAATTAACGTAAAAAAAAAAAAAAAAAAAATTGTTTCCATCAGTGTCTGGTCAAGCTGTTCTCATGTTAACATTGTGCCATGATTTTCCTTTTATGTTTAAATAAAACAACCAAAAAAAAAAATGTCTTCAAAGGATTAGAAAAAATGGAGAGAACTTGCGCGGAAGCATATTTCGTTTTGTTTCATTCTGTGATTGCATTTGCTATGCTTCGATATATCGCTTTGCGCTATTTCGCTATTTCGGTGTTTCACCGTTTCGCTAATTTTGGTGCTTTCCAATATGATGCCAATTTGCCGGTTGGCTACTTGGTCATATTAATCATTTTTCTTTTACTGGTTTTGTTTTATGCTTCGCGAGTGATCATTTTGCCATTTTTTTTTTTTTTTTTTTTTTTTCCCGTTCTGTACATTTTTTGTTCAGGTTTTGGTCAATTTTTTCCCCGTTTTTTTGCGCCTTTTTTTTCGCTTTTTTGTACTTTTCGCCATGGCGCACACGGGAATGGAAGCGCAAGGGAAAACTGGAGCAAAAAGGACACGGAAAAAAAGGAAAAAAAAAAAAAACATACTTAAAACGGAACAAGTGGACTAATACGCCGCTTTGGACAAACGCGAAAAGTGAAAAAAAAAAAATGAAAATGTGTAAAGCATTTCAAGTGTCCAATGTTCCAGTGTAAAAATCCACCTTTTCCATTCCAGGGACAGGGCAAAATAAAAGGGGCAAGCGGAAAATTATACAGACGTTATACACATGTACGAACTTTCCCTTCTCTTTTATCAGCACGGCTGTTAGTGAGCTCTCCCCCCCTGTTAATCAAACATGCTTAATCGAGTACTGTGTACATGTGCTATAGTTGAGGCATACAACTTGTGCGGGGTGCCCGCTCGTCCCATCCGCGGGGCCCAATACACCATATCACACATAAACTCAAGTTTGTATGTATATGTTCACACGGCATGTGTGTATACGCAAATGTGTTAAACTTTTTCGAAGGAACTCTTCTTTCTCACTCTTTTATATTATAACCCATGTGTGCATTAAACACCTCCACACCTTTCGGATGAAGAAGCTCTGTGCTCATTTAACCAGACTATTTAAAATGGTCTAATTTGACGCTTCCCATTGAGAAAACAGCTAGCTGGGGAGTCATAAAACCACCAAATGGGGAAAAATCCCATTTGGCTATCCGTAGAGATACATGGTACGGCTGATTTGACGGAGAGACAAAAGTTCAACCCAATAAATATCCTTTTAAGAATGACAAACTTGTGGATCATCCCGCATGACCAACTTTTAACAAAAGTTTCATTCTGCGTATGTGGCCAATTGTAAAAAAATATGTAACTCAATGACGGGTGTGGATGTGTGGATGTGTGCATGTGGTTTATCATCTGAACCCCTTACCAGTTTTCGTGTACCAATACACACTTCCGACGCCCAATTGGGGAGGTACAGCAAAACTATGCGTTGCGTCAAAGGGTTAATATTTGATCCACATTGACAGGCATGCAGAGAAGCAAAGAGGACGCGGTCCTTCGCCTGCTGGTCCGCCTGCTCCTCCGCCGCGGCTCCCTAGGTGATATATTTTTTTTTTTTTTTTTTAAGATGAATTAAAAATTTTGAGTAGTTTCAAATACAAAAATATGAGTTGCGAGAAATTAAAAAAAATATATATCTGCACATATATATTTCCTTCTGTATGAATATATGCATATACACTGGTCTTTTTTTTTTTTTTGGAATTAAATAACATAGGGTTCTTAGCAATGACTACTTCCTGCATGCACGCACATATGCACACATTGAACACATGCACGCATACACAGAGCATACATATACACACACACATACACATAAACTGCATATTATGTGGGTGCGCATATAAAACGGCACAGGACAGTGGGTACATATACTCTTTTATATATACACATATAATACATGGGAACAGGGAGAGGAACGTGACGGGGTTTCTGGTTCTTCTGGTGTGTCTGTTCATTAAGCTGGTATTGCATGAAAAGGTTTATTACGTTACGTAGCAGGGGGTAAAATACACATGGTCAGTGCAGTAGTGACGTAGTGAAGTAGTGCAGTGGTACAGGTACATGTTAGTTGCTCACATATGCGCAGTGTGCACGCGCGAGAAGCTGCCACAAAAGTGGGGGGCGCGTTTTTCCCCCTCTTTCTATAACACTTCTATCTTGCTATATACTATATAAATATTCGTTCGCATTCATTTTACTTTTTTGCTTCTGTTTTTCCTCTTCCCTGCCCTTTCCGCTTGTCTTTCTTTTCGCTTTCTCTCTCTCTCTCTCTGTTTTTTTTTTTTTTGGAGGGGGGGGGGGCGTTCTGTTTTTCCCCCATTCCATTTCTGCATTCCCCTTTTTTACTCTGAATTATCAAAGTTCACCTTCAAAATGTAGCCGTCGAAGTTGCAAAAGTTGAGGGCGTCGATGGCGTTTTTGGCGTCGTATTCACTTTCCATAATAACGGTTCCTGTGATTTCCTTGGATGGGGTTTCCTCATTTCTTAAATCTGCTCTAACAACTCGACCGTGCTTTTTAAATAAATCTTTTAATTCCTTCCAGGTGCTTTGGGGTGGGAGGTTGTAAACTATAAGGGTGCAATTTCTTTTGCTGGATGATCTGAACTCACTTCTTGCAAAATCGTCTCTTCGGAAGTCTCCTCTCATTCCTCTTCTGTAGTCATCTCTGCCGTAGTCTCTTCTGTAGCCTCCTCGATAATCAAAATCGCGCCTTCCTCGGGGGGCGTACAATCTGTCTTTCCTCATGTTGTTGAATCTGGGCTTTCCGTAGTTGCCCGAGTTTTCTTCTCGATCCTCTCTCACAAATATGAGACGGTCTGGCGGGGGGAGCGGGTTTTTTTGTTCAAGCGTGTGCAGCAACGCGGCGGACATATGCAACCAACGGGCACGCATAAAAAGCACCTCATCATGCACGCAACTGCAGGTGTTCCATATATACGGGCGAATTGACTTACCATCCAATTTGGAATCGTTTAAGCTGTTTATGGCCTCCTGTGCCTCTTCATACGTTGCATACTCTACAATTCCGCATCCCTACGCAGATAATGGGGAAATGAAAAGACATGGAGAAATGTTCACGCGCACAACATGCACGAGTAGAGTTACGCCTCAGGCAGGGTAAACAATGTTTGCTAATACAAAAACACCGCACCGCGTTGGTATCCTACACAAAAAAAATTGATGTAGATTGACCCACCTTTGATCTTCCTTGCATGTCTTCAAAAATGTCAACCCTAACGACTTCTCCGGCTTTCTTCATGTGTGCCTTCAACACTGGCCACGTGACTTTCCAGGGCAAATTTCCAACGTAAACCCTACAACCCTTGGCTGGGCTTTGCTGCATATTCGAGTGAATGGATGGCTATTGCCCAGGGCAAAAAGGAACATGTTAGTGAATTTCATATTGGGTGAAATATGTATGCAACGGGGGGGAGGGCACAAAAGAACACGACGGGTGGTATATGCATGTAATATACACGTGGACGGCATGCAATAGAAGCATCCATTCTGTGTGTTGATGTCACAACTGATTAAGCAAATCGGTTGATGGTATATTATAACACTCAATTAGGGCAAACACAATATATGTCAAATGGGGCGACAGAAAGAAAAAAAAAAAAATTTGCTACTTACATTACTGGCATTCTCCATGATGAATGTGGTATAATCTTGTTGGGGTATATTTTTTGGGGTTGGGTTCAAATTCAGTCCGCTCGACAAATTGTGAACAGGGGGCTTGTATGTGGATGTAAATATAAAATCTGCAGGCGACAGTACACGTATGCGCAAATATATAAATTATACGGAGGGATGTCGGAAATTCTCGCGTATGTTTATTTATGTATTGCTAAGGAAAATGAAAAACAGCGGGAAAAAAAAAAAAACAAAAAGGATTGCGCGACCTGCAGTTTTTGCAAATTCGGTTGTTTTTTCTTTTTATATTTTACGTATGCGCGTGAGCGTATTTTTACGTAAACGTAGGGGGTTTACATAAATATATATATATGCTTTATCAAACGCTTTTTTATGGCCTCTTAAGCTTAGCATGGCCTATGTGCTTTTTTAAAGTGTTTTATATAAATTAATTAAAATAAAAATATAAAAAAAATGCTGTAAGGATATTCTTTAATTAGGTAACTTCTATATATGAATGTTTTGTTTGTAACTTTTTTTTTTTTTTTTTTTTTTTTT